ACGTCATTTAGCGATTTTTTAGATGTTTTTAAGAGAATAATTTGGAAATTGAATAATATTAACCAACCCCTTCACTTTTAGTGTACAAAACATTTTCTTGATGTTTCTCGTATACTACGCTTGTAAGTAATACTGAATAGAAAAAATATAGTAATCTGATTCATATTGATTACGTTGAAGTGACATTATTAGTGCAAACGAATATTGTATAAAATAAAACGAATTAAAAGTTGTATTTAACTCAGTTTTTTTGTTTAACATAGTTTTTTATTCTTATTGAAGTCGCTAATTCAGTACTCGAAAACAGTATAAAATTTCAAAAAATTTAATTCAATCTCGCCACCGATTGCTTTAATGTTCCGATTAATTGGTTATTCTAGTATAATATAATTTATTATTGTAATACGAATACAATTCGAAATAAATAAAATTAAAAAAAACTGTTATCTTAAAATGTTAATACTTATACCGACAGGCACGTAACTAAGAGTTTTTTGTGTGAGAGATTCAAGCATAGAATTATTTAACAACTACCACTAAATGTCAGTGGAAAAAAAATCAAACTTTATCGGTAAAAATTAAAGAACCGTTTTTAGGTCAAAAAATTAAATTTCGGGGGGAGGGTTCCATGGAAACCCCAGGTTACATTCCTATGAGTGTATTTGTATAATTTTCAAAAAAAATAATTATTCCTCCCATCCTCGAATATATAAATACTATATTCTAAACATTACATCTAAATTAAATAATTCTTAGAGATTGAAAAAATAACTACCAACCTATATTAACTAATGTTTTCTACCTATATAATAAGTGTAATATAGTTTATGATTTCAGTAGTTAACTGTATATTTGCATTTCTGTTATTTTTGTTCCCTTGCTTGAAAGAAAAATTGGAAGGAAAATTATTTTTCTAAAAAAAATACGTAGATTACTAAATGAAGAAAGTACGAGGAACTGAAATTACCTTATAAGAAACTGAATATCTAGTAGCCGTCGGCAATAACATGAAATTACGATATGGACATTGAACATAAAATGTTCGCACTCATAGTAGAGAAGTTAATCGCCATTCCTTTGTATACTTTGCTGGTAAATAGCACGACAAAGAAAACACCATTTGGAAGGTAGATGGAACGAAGAATAAGAGGTAATCACCGACTTCCCTCTCATTCCTCCCGAAACAACGCAGACTAACTTAGGAAGAGGATTATTAGATCGGAAAAAACGAGCGTTAGATAGGTTGGATGTCTGGATGTATGACTGATTGGTCTCAGAAATTAAGAGAGTGGTAAGCAAAGCGAATTTAAAGCATATTGTTTTCAACTTGCTATGCTTTGCGACCTAAAATGATGAATTGTATGAGAGACTAGGAACAAAGGAAAATGAAAAAGAAATGTATCGATTGACCAAGTTTAGAGAAAATTCCAGGGCGATGTTAGGGATCGGGTCAAGTGGAAGTTTAGAACAAAAGTGACCGAAATCAATAGTTAGGATGAAAGCAAAGGAGAATTCTTCCTCTCCGTAGATCGGTTCAAAATGTTATTCGATATTTAGTCTACCGAATAATATATTGTAACGTGAGCTTTTTATCTGTAATCTGCCCATAAACAATAATATATTTTACAATACGAAAAATCGTATAATCTTCGTGTATATATATTTCGTGAAACACTTTGCATTTCATATTTAATCGATAATGCATCGAACTAGCTTATTTTTTGAAATCCTACTCATCTCAAAAAATAGGGGGAAAGAGGAATCGGAACAACGGGAATATATTTACATAAAGCAGCTTCTTTTTTTCTTTAATCAAATTCTGTTTTTCATTTCGTTGATGTTATTATTATTCTAAATTGAGAAATAATCTTTGTGACCAGACTGCATTTTCACCGAACGTTTATCATATTATAATATAACGTGTTGTAATTTCGAAAATATTATAAATTATTTTGAGTGGTTTATGCTAAAATGTTTTAAATAATATAAAATTTTGTATCATACAATTCACATCACTCTTAAAATAATTCTACAGCGAAAGTTACAGGTGTTGATATTATGATAAATATGTATAGTATATACCTATATTACAACAAAAATAATTCGTTTACAGCTACGTGTAAAAAAAAGGCTAGGTAAAAAAATTTTTTTTTACACGTAGCCGTAGGCGAAGTGTTTTTGTGTTGTGACATCAACTCTTTTTTGAGATTAATTTCACCATGCGTCACTGAGAAAATATTGTTTTACAATGTTTTTTTTTTTAGTTTTTTTATTATTAGTTTCACATTATTGTTATTATTTTAGAATACTTTCGAATTGCATCCTAGCAACACCTAAAGAAAATTTTAATTTACGCAAAAGCCTATTGGCTCATATCAATATCTGGTAAAAACTCTAAACATTAATGCCCATAACTTCTGTTCTGTTGAACCAGTTTGCATGAAATTAAAAAAGGCATTTCTCAGTAATATTTTCAATGTTTTGACATAAATTCAAAGTCAATCGATTATGTTCTTTTATAGTTATTTATGAACAAAAAACATGAGGCATATTACATGTGTTTAAATGGGAACGTTGTCGTTCGCTACGCTTCTTTTTTTTTATTTATATCATATATCATACTTCGATAACATTACAGTATACTATTTAAATATATATGATATCTATAATTGCGCTTAAACCGGCCATTGGTGGTACTGGTCACGAAACATTAATTTTTTAAAAACGATTTGAATGCATTCTCTGAGTACGCACTCTCGTTTACATCACTTTAGCGTGTAGTATTTCAACGCCGTTTTACGTAGATGTAGGTACCTATATAATATCTCATTACCGTTCGTGTCGTTTGCGTGCGTAATAACGTTTTGCCGCACGCGGTCCCGGAGGGGAAAAAAATATCTCGTCTTTTGAATCCCCCCCCCCAGTTTGCTCAATGAATGTTTTTTTTTTTTAAATTCACGGTCGTTATTATCATTATTATTATTATCATCATCATCATCATCGTCGTTTTTAAACCACTCGACGACGGCATGGAGGCAGACGGAGAAGGAGAAAAAAAATAACAAAACGGTCGGAAAACGATTTTAATTGCTCCGAAAAACTTATATAATAATAATAATAATAATAATATTATACGATAGAGTGTTTTGCAGAAAGTCGTGATTTCGTTACCATCGTCATCGTTACACCGTCTCCGCGCGTATATAAACTCGGCCCTGACCGCAATTTCGACCCAGTAATTACGTCGACAATATTATCAAAACGTCATTACTCATTAGGATAAAATATCAAATGGCCCAAAAGACCCTCCCCCGGACACACACATATTTACTGCTACACTTACGTCGTCGTGACCCGGTTTTACCCGTTCCCTTTTCGCGTACCGCCGGCCACTTATCCCGTGATATTTTCGTCGCCTCCCTTATTACCCCTCGTCCCTATTCTCCCAACAGTCAATTTTTGTCCGCCTCTTGGAAATAGCTCTCCGTATATAATAAAACCGAGTCACCGTTAAATATTCTAAATATATCCAAAAACACCGTTTTCTGAACTCAAAATATCACCCGTGAACATCATCAGATATTCAGATTACCGTCACTGTTATATAAAATCGGATTTTCCCTATCAATTTCCGTTGTAATATTATATAATTATTTGGCAAACAATAAATAACTGAATAAACTATTGTAATATAACATTATACTACTTCAAAGAAAAAGAGAAAACAAAAACGTCGAAAATTTGAAAATATTTATATTAGAGATTTGGATTGGTGGAAGTTGAAACGCCTAAAAGGCACATCATCCCACAACTGTGTAAAACATTACATTTTCACAAAGAACAGTGAAATTCGTATCGTATTTCAACTCAATTTATATCTCTATAATCTGACTTGCTCTTAAATTCCTAAGTTTTAACTCATTTAACACAGATAGAGCCGCTAAAAGTGAGCAACGTTAGCTGTAAAAAAATAGATATTATATAATAAACATAATAATAGATAGCAAAAGTCGTTTTTTTTTCAAAGAAAACTCGACAATAAAACAAACATGTATCGACGAGACTAAATACATTTCCGAAATGCGATTTAAAATAAGATGGTTTGACGGTTCCATGACAATAAAACAATGATATAGCTGCGTTAGGAAAGTACGAGACGAAAAAACATTTTTTTTTACAGTGTATAAATACTTCGTTTATATACTTTCAACAATTTAATTTTTCCGTCTACTCTCTCTCTCTCTCTCAATATTTTTATTTATCTATCACTAATCCTCGGCATATTTATGTATAGTTTAAGTGCGTATTCTTGATAACCGAACCTTTTTTTTTTCATTTTAAATTGAATAATTCTATAAACCTCTCTCTCTCTCTTTATGCGCATTATTACTATACAGTGAGCTAAAATAACAAAACGATTTTCATGTCTTAATTGTTTTGCTCATAAAACTTTGGCGAACACCTCGTCGTAGTCAAAAACTTAATCTCGTTGGAAACTTTAAATTAGTTTTTAAACTCTATTCGACATTATATTTTCTTTTGGATTAAATATAATATTTTTTTGGTTTTACAGAAAATGGCAGTAGGAAAAAAACGGATTTTATAACTAATAACTCTTGTCGAGCTGTATACTCACTACTCAGACATTTTAATTTTCCATTTTGGACAATAATGTCTACAGAAATTTACGCGTCTCGAGTTTCAAAAAGAAAAATGTTAGTATTAATATGAAGTAATTCATTTCTTTTTCTTTTCATTTTTTATCTTTCGGTACAGCGATTATCCCGGAAGATTTTTAAGTACAAAATACGAATTTAATTTATATTTTTTTGAGCCGTAAACGGAATCGTTCTTAAAGAAACTTAAACAGATTTCTTATATTATTATATTATGTTCGTATAATTTCTGTACCGTTACGGTAATACTCTTCCAAACTTAAAATAGATAATCGTTCAAGAGAGATAAATTAAAAATAGAAATACTAATACTACTTCGGTGACATGTGTCGAAGTCACAAGACAGATGACGATGCATCTGTTGTGACTTATTTTTCTGTAGCTTTTTGAACTGTAATTAAAACGAAGGCTTTGAAATTGTTTTGAGCAACTCGAAATACGCCTGTTTAAAATAAAATAAAAATTGAAACGTCGAAGCGAGAATTGAACCACATGTTTAGTAACAGTTCTCTTTAATTTGAAATAAAATGTATAATATGTAAACAGAGTCGGCAAACAATAAGGGCCAAATGGTTTTATACAGAGTTGAGTCGGTGGAAACTCGTCATAGACTGTACAGAAAACCATCAATAGGATCAAAGCAGGAGTTTAGCACTAGTCATTGATAATTTTATATCAGCAGCTACCACTTATTAGCTAAAACAAAACGTCTAAAATATCTAATTTATATAAAATGTTATTATTAATATCATAAATGTTTATCACTACAGACACGAAAACAAGAAAAAGAATAGAGATTAAATCCCTACAAGAAAATCTAGGAAAGTTGCATGTACATGATTTCATAAAAATAATCTAACTTAACTTTGGTAAAATCCTTCCACAATAGCTAGTTTTATTAATGTTTCCGACTTCGAATCGCAAAGATAATAGCTGAGATCATCTTTCTAAATTGCATAGTTTTTACACGATGAACGTGGCTTTCCTTTAAACTCTAGAGATCAATACATCTATTTTGCGTTACGATAAAAATGTCTATAATAAAGTATTTACATACTTACAATACATATTATAATGTGATATACTGGATAATATTCATTGACGAAATATGCATTTAATCGTGTTTTATACCTAGGTGTCTAAAATGTGTCTTATTTCCATGTACATTTTGTTTCTGCCTACTAACAACTTTTCTATCAACAAATCGTATGAATGACGGAAGCATTTACAGTATTTCCGATTACATTATTTTTGATTTTGTTTTTTTCTTATAACTCGATTAATCATAATCGTAAAGATCTAATATTTTCTCATTATACTAATTATAATATGAGTCTTTTCTAGTATTTTATAGAAATTATATATTTTCTAATTTTTTCAATTTCTATTTGATACATTATATTTGGATAAATTAGTTTGACCCAACACAAATACTTAAACATTTAACACGAGTTTCATCATCAGTTATATTTATTAGTAAGGTTTAAACCTAATGTAATAGTTAAAAAATTAAATTTTGACGAAAATCGTTATAATTATAGTATACCAAAATATGTATAACCGAACATAACTGCTCAAAGTCGATTATTATTAATAATGTTTTGTCGTTGTATACAGATATAAATAAAATATTTGTATTTATTCTACCTATCAAACTTATAGTTTTATTAATTTCTGTTCTTTTTTATTACTGCAGGTGTCTTGGATAAGGCATAGGGACATACATATACTGACAGTTGGCGCGTACACATACACCAGCGACCAAAGGTTTCAGGCCATCCACCACAGATCGCATTCGGATCAATGGACGTTGCACATCAAGTGGGCCCAAAAGAGAGACGCGGGCATTTACGAGTGTCAAGTGAGCACGCAGCCAGTGAGAAGCATATTTGTCACGCTAAATGTCGTTGGTGAGTATATGTAATAAAATATATATATTGTTTTTTAAACAAAATTTCTTCGTTTATATATCGATTTTGTCACGCAGTAGTGACTATAAGTAGCGAACACAGAGGAGGATTTTAGGGGGTTCCATAAAGAGTACATTATTGATTTTTAACGTTATATGAGTGTGATATTTTTTCAACAGCCCCCTTCCCTATATGTTATAAAGGTACTCTATTTACAGAGTCTTCCAAAATTCATGTTACAGGTTTTCATGAATTTTCCATGAAATACTAATTTTTCCAAAAAAAATTACTTATGTAAATATCTTTTGGTATCATGTATTCTAATTTTTTACATTGATTTGCATTTCTTTTAGATATTCGAGAATCCACTATCCACTTTTGATTTTAAAATATCAATGTAAATTGCAAATTTCATAAATATATGAAAATTTAGTTTAAATACATTTGGTGTTAAAATGTTTAATTTTTGTCGATCCGTTAACAAGCTATTTCATTTTGAAGTTTAAATAAGGAACAATAGTGGAACACTATTCAAATACCACACACGCAACAATACAAACAATGCTCTATTTCCTTACTCCTACCCAACAAATTTCGACACTAAAATGTATTTAAACTGTAATTCTATCTATCTGTGTAAATTTCAATGTAAATTAATATTCGAAAATCAAAAATAATTAGTGGTTTTTCTGTTAAAAATAACGGTAAATAAATAAGAGCAATTTAATATTTTAGAATGTTCTACAATTTCAAAAAGTTATTACATAGGAAAGTAATTTTAAAATATATTTATTTAATTCGTGGACCACTTGACCATAACATACCGTTTTTGATACTCTTATATTCCCGAATGAGCAAAAAATCGATCTTTGGGTATGAATATTTTTTTTTTAATTTATCGCCGCGATATTTTAGACGAAAGACCACCGACTCCAGAGACTGACAGTAGTTCGCTGTTAGACATGATGATACGAGACGGAGACTTTACAAAAGGTTTTTATTTGAATCGGATTTGATGTGTGCGATTTTTATTTGATGTTAACAAACGTTTGCTCCATAAACTAACTTTGATTTATAATAATAAAAATAGAATGTTAGGTGTAAATTAAAAACAGTGTATGCTGAGAGAAAAAAATTTAACGAGATATACAAAAACAAAAATAAAACTTAGTTATATCGAGAATTGGCGTTTTTAAAAAAAATCAAAAGGATAAAACTAATCGTAAGATTTTTTTATTTTTCCACTTCAAAAATTAATGCAGCCAACTGGATTATTTCCAAATATACGAAAGAAATAAAAGTAAAAACTCATGTTTGGTTATTTTTTTTCGAAGTAGTTAAGCACGTTATTTTATAAATATGTTCAATGTCTGTATTTTTGAAATTTTATTTTCCTAAATAACTCGGGTATTTTGATGCTAAAATGATTTTTTTTTTTCTATGAATTTTAGCCTAGCTTAAAATCTATAGTTTATAATTTATGGCTAAAATAAATAAATTGTTTTATTAAAACGCACAATTTAGTTGCATATATTAAAATATTATTATTAAAATCGGAAAAACTGAAAAAATGTGTATGTATTGAAAGCGTATAATCGTTTTACGTGCGATTTGCTGTTATAAACAATACGAAGTTTATGGTTACGTAAAAGACCGAGTTCATTGATGTTTCCAGATTCGATAAGGGGAAATTTTCTGCACTTGAAATCCAAAACGCGTGAGGTTCTTTCCAGACCGATGGGCCGGAGAAAGCCAACCGTGTAATTACATACTGTGTGTTGGCTATCGACGACGGGAAAAACTTTACCGTGTGTTAGTAATTCAAGATTTCGAGTTTTCGCTTTTTTTGTATTTATATATATATATAATTGACTCGTGTTTTTTAGTGTGCGGGGAGCGGACTCGCGTAGTCCGTTATTTTTTTTTTCTTTTTAATGGAAAAAAAGAAATAATAGTAACAGTAATAATAATCTCTCGACGTACCTAAAAAATATATGGCCGTTTGCCGGACCGCTTCAAAGTGCACTCAGTCGTGTTATCAATTATTTAAAAGAGAAATTTACGTCGAAAATTTTTGGCTCCTTCGTATGCCGGTTAAAAATAAAAAAAATAAAAATATTGCTACGTGTCAACATATTTTTTTATGTACGATGACCATACCTACTAGCTACGCGTTGTATAACAATAATTTAAAAAATTTTAATTGTGATTAAATTTCCAGAAAAAAGGTTGCATAAATGAATATAATATTATAGCGGCCGGTTACATATTGCAACATAAACTCGAGGACCGTTATCAGATGTTCGGGTGAAAAACTGAATTTCGTTCTGGCGCTCGTATGCGACCACAACCGTATGGCGTTATTAATAGAAGATAAAATGTGTATAAAAATTAGACCGCTAGAATAATGCCATAATTATTGTCATGAAAAAAAAAAAAAAAAAAAATCGAAATTCCACAATGATAAGTCGTCTTTCCCTATCATACTGCTATACCATCGTAATCATAAATATTATATGGAACTGTTGAAAAAACTATAGGAATATGCTCCGAGAGGGAGGCAAGGCATAGCATTTCCTCCCCCCGACTTTTCAAAGTGTGTAAAATTTAATGTGGTTATAAAAAAAGAAGGCCATCAATATAAAAACATTATACACGATTATCTATTGGTTGAAATACATATTTTTAAAACGTGGCAAATTTCCTACATACTATATTCGATCATACAATCGCACAGAAATTCAGAAATTAAAAGGTGTTTTAAATATTATGCTAAAAGACACATAAATATTTTATCCATCAGTATTCCCGGCAACAACTTGTACTACTGAACGGTCTTTTCGCACGTTGTGAAGGGTTAAAATCTGCAGGGTACTATTGGATGAAAACATATTTAAATCATTTTAATCTGGCGATCCTTTTTCTCATTTTTTTCATCAATAAAAGAGAGTAAATTTGGTAAAATTTGATGACCATAGCTCTTCTGAACAAATATTACTAAATAAAATACTTAATGAAGTATTTTAAAATGATTTTTAAATTTATAAGAAACTTAATTAATTTAATTTAAATTAAATTAATTAATGAATTAATTTTGTATAGATAATTGAACGTTCTGTATTAAAGGCCTGGTACATTTTTCTATAAATGTTACAGTTTTTTAATAAAATCGAAAAATTGTCAAGCTAATATATTTTGGTCATTTTTCATCCCCTTTTTCGACACGTGAAAAAGTTGAGAGCTAATTTCACCCAAAATTACTCTATAATATTGACAAACGAAATAGTAGGGGATAGTACTCGATAAAAAGATTCTAACTTTTTTCTTCTTCTATAAAATAATAACCACCCATGGAAGTATATTATAATAATTATTATTATTGACTTAAAGCGATCACACCGCTGTATTTTTAAATTTTGAAAACCATTTCAAAGCTATTGGAATTTTGTCGTTCCTATATTATCATAAAAACGATCAACTTTATTCATTGCACATTATCAAGAGCCAACAATCATTTTAACGAGATAAAGTTTTATTATAATAGTGTTATACAAATACCGCGTATTCAGATAAATTTTAAGTACTCTCCAGCCCCCTTATTATCGTTGTATTAATTTCTTTATTAAAAATGTGGTGTAGAACATGGCCCATTATATAATTATTATAACTTAATGAGTATTTGCATATAAAATAGATTTTATTTAATGAATATTTTTATAAGAAATGGTTTCGAGCGCTTTCTTCATGTTATTTTTTTTCATACATATTTGTCCATCTCCAAAAGCATTTCACTTTTTTATGGAAAATTCGGTTAAAACGCTTTGGGGAAGAATTGTGCTCACACCCGAATATTGTCATTTAATACGAAATATGAATTTGTTTTGTTGAATGCCGGGATTCCTCGATTGGATTAAAAAAAAATAAAAAAACCTTCTCTTATTCTTGTAGTGATATATGTTAAAATTTATCAAAACAGTCGCTTATTACTTGATTAAGCCATAATAACACAATGAAAAGCCCGAATGTAAAATGAAAGATTTCCAAAAGTTGATGTAAAAAGTGTTATATATTAGTGTTTTTTTTTTTTTTTTTTTAACACAATTTATCTATTAAATGTTGATTATAATTTAATTTGATCGTACCGTTGTCCATTAATCGAAATAATATTGTTATTTTAAAAATTAATAAATACTTGAAGAGTTATGGTAAGTGGTTTTCCTCAGTTATTTTTTTAAATTGTATTGCATTCGGCAATTTTAAAAATCGTGACCTTCCTGGATAAAGTAGGTTGTCGTAGTTGCTCTGTACGTAAACACATTTACCGTGAAAATTTATCAGGACAGTTAAAAGGTCAATGGAGACGAAAAAAAATCGCAAACACACGGTCGTAAAATCTAAATAATATTATAGTTTCGACAAAAATTCAGATTGGAACTCGAATGCAACAGCATAAATATTATATATTATAGTATATTTAAGCAATTTAGCTGGTCAGTAGAGGCGACGATTGTGTTAAAATATTTACTCGGGAAATCGCTGTGGTTTAAAAAACAAGACCGTGACCTAAAATTGCTGAACACACCCAAGATCGTAAAAAATATATGTATATATATATTATATATTTTATTTTTTTCAGTTGTGAATCCGTTTATGTTATTTAAATACTTAGAGGAGCTCTTTTAGTGGAATTATTATTACCGGCACAATATAATAGTAACATATAACTGTTTACGTGTGTAAACGGTTCAATTATTCAGTTTTAAAACATTATAAATATATTTCGAAAATAGTTATTAAACATTGATAAAATGGTTTTGATTGGGATAAAAATCTATCCATTTGATATTTCGCCTCGTCACCCGAATGCAAATTCCACTGAGTCTATAGCGTTATCAAAATATAATATAATCATGTTATAAATATAAATTTTTATTAAAATACGGCCTCGTTTGTTTTTCCGCAAGTTTCGATGGTCATTCAACAAATACAATAATGTTTCCTGCAATATTCTCGACCGAATAATTTCTTCATTTCAATTAGTTGGCAGCTGCTCTCTCCAGGTTCCTCTATCAAATCTCAAATCCTTCGCCGATCGATAAATTCTCACTGTCGGAAAAATCGAAATAATTATTTTCACTTTAAACATAGTATAATTAACTATAACATATAATATTGCTATAGGACTAAAATTTAAGTAGTTAATACTATATTTGTATACTTATGTAATTATAGTTTATATTATTATTTAATTATTATATATTCGAAAAATAAAAACGCAAAATCTACGAGCATGTTACGGAATTCTCAGCCTGGTATCTATATAGCCTAAAAAATTTCGGGGGGAGTCCACATTTTGTTTTGTTACCCTGTACTCGTGAGTATACTGACAATTGTTTACATTACAACAGTTTTAATACACACGTGTTCCAGTGGGAGTTGAAACACAAATAAAAACATTTCAACGACTATACATAGCTTGTTTGAAAAAAAATTCTATAGGTACAAAAAAGTTATAGGTAGTAGCTATATAAAAAAAAGCACAAACGTGGCTGTAACTGACAATTTTTTAGACAAATCTACGGAGGTGTAACACTTGGAAATAGTTTTCTCTTTAAACTTGTTTTTTTGTGTTTTCAAACTATACAACCTCTATTTGAACGCCACAGTTTACGTTCTGAGTAACGTCATTTTAGCTTTGCTATACGACTAAGAGAGTATATAGTTGCGGATGTGGCGTCTTCGAAATATTTCCCCGTCTGTCGTCACGGCCACGAAAATGCAGTTTGCTGCCGTGTATACGTCGTCATTGCAGATGACCTACAATAATAATATTAATAATATGGCGGTTGACCACGGGACGGATGTTTATTATTCAAAAACCTTTTCGCGGAGGGATCGCGAGGCTGAACAATATTTTCTGACGGCGCCGTCTCTCTTGCCATTTACCAGTGGGGAAGAGTGAGTGGAAATAGGGGAGGCGGTACGTTTTTGCGAAGGTATATTGTTGTGCCGGGACCGCGGGATAGCGCAAAGGCCATCATCGTATAGTCGAGACTAATTATAGCGGCTCTTCGCTATTATTATTATAATAATACGACAGCCGAAAAGCACGGGCATATAATATACTTGGGTACGTTGGGGTATTATTACGTAGGTGCACGCTGCTTGTACTATTTCGACTGTGATTTATGTGCAATCCGCCGACGGGAGCGGCGCGCGTCTTACGCTCTCGACGCGTCACACCGGAAAAGCGTTCCGAGAGTCACTCGACTACCCCGTCCGGTACAATGTATTATATTATAATGTATGTATATATATATATATATATATATTTGTTTTAATACGTTATATAATATATATATATATACATAATGTAAATACGAGTACGTTGTTTTCCCGAAGATTTTCACCTCAGTGGCGACAAAACAACAATAATAACGACCGCCATAATGCACATAGGTGTTACACAATAATAATATTAATACAATACGCGACTGCCGCACACCGGTGTATCGTGCGAATCCGAAACAATGGAAAACTTATTCGCGTTCACCGCTGTAGAGATTTTTTCGCGGGCAATGCACGTTTTCGACATGTCATCCCCCGCCGAGTTGATAATATTTTCGCGAAACGCATTACCTGTTGCGTGAATTTATATTCAATAACAGATATACGTATAGACCGTGCGTTATAGGAAAATATAATTTTGATCATAACATACAATACGATTAGGTGTGTTTGGGAGAGACAGGCCGTTAACTAATTTGACACGAAAATATTGAACAATGATAACGGTTACGTTGACGCGAAAAATCGCATAGATTAAATAGATGACCCTTACTATGTATGAAAATTCACCATAAATTCAAAGAATGTTAATATCAATAATTAATTCCTACCTCAATTGTTATAATCAATGCAATGATAATAATATCATTAATATCTAGTATTGACGAAAAAATAAACTACTATAGGTCTTTTTAAGACTCACTCCGACATAATATACCGGTTTCAACGTGGTACTTAAAATGAGCCTAATGCTTGGCCTTTCTATTATAAAACTATGGCCTGTTATTCCGGTAACCCCAGACTGCCGCATCGTCCTCTCGACCGTATATCATAATATGACCGCTTCACCAGCCTCACAAATCTACGATGTTCGACCGTTCGAGAAGAAAAATCGTGAACAAATACTACAAAACTTTGTCCCTCCTGTCCATTTTAAACTTTTGCTTGATGTATTTAGATTACATTCATGCTGAATAAAATATCGGACAGAACCGCTCTCGTAAATATCGGATAACTTTTATTTAAAAAAAAAAAAAAACAATATGCAAAAGATCTTACCCGGTAAAATTGCTTCTATATCGTCTCCACAGCTCACTTACGTCACAAACCTCTTTTCGGGTTTTTTTTTTCTTCTTATTTTCGACTTTTGCGTATGTAGCCGTATGTTTATGTATATGTGTGTGTGTATGCGTGTGTGAATAACCGAATATACACGTATAAGAAGATAATAACGTATCGAACGTGAGAATTATCCCGCGCCGCAGTACCCAAGGGACGTATATAGTACCAAAATGCATTCTATAGTAACACGATATCTCATTTAATTTTTTTTTACCGAAAGAACGGCCGAGTTTTTCATATTTATTTTGTTCCCTTCTTAATATTCTCTCGTACTCTTTGGCCAGCAGGCGTGTGCGCAAAAAAAAAAAAAGAATCGCCTTCGTGCGTACATTTCAATGTTTGCTTCAAAATATATTTATATTCGGATAACCCAATGTGAAGGTCCCGGAAAACGCAAACCCATCTACACGTGCATATAACGAGAAATTTTCGAATATTTGTCACCTGTGTGTGTTGTGTGTGTGTAAGAGCTATTTGACATTTGATATCCATTATACGAATATTGACGAAATTCGTTTGTTAATAACGTGAAATACGTGCGAAATTGTTTACACACGATGTTTCAAAACGTTAAACTGCGCGGGATGATATTTTATAGGTACAAAAAACGTACGAGAAAAACTTACATGCTTGTTTAACAATATAATATGTTTAATAACGCAATTTCCTCCGAGGGAGTTTGGCGCATTTTAGTCACGTTTTTCAATTAGCCTTTCAACCGCTTATACGTGCGTATATAATATTATATATGAATAATAAAAAAAACAATCAAAATCGCTCGTAGTTGACTATAAAAATGCATAATATTTAGGTGTTTCGAGCTTATTTGAATGTATAGGTTACTTGTATATAATCTTTTATATTAAACGTATTAATTATAATAGGGGACATGTATTATTCGACAGTTATATTATAATTATTGTTATATAATTAAAAAATGTACTGTAGTCATTATTGTGAAATCGAATTGATGGACAACAAAAAGGACTGAGTTAGAGTTTCTTTCCGTATGCCTGATAAAGTAAAAAATCATCGAACGATAGAGCATAACCTCATAATTTCACTATTTCTTTGTCTAGAGGCTCAATCATCTAATCGAAAATAATCCTAAATTTATTATGTGAGAATTTGTCGAAGAATGTTGAGAGTGTTATCTTTAAATCTTTCATAAATTGTCTGTATTTCAGTTATTCCTGGGAAGACTAGATCGGACCCTGGGTAAAATTTAAAATCTATGCTGGTTCCAGTTGAACTCGTGCCAAATTCACTCTTAAAAGTCGCATGTACAGAAACTAAATTAGAACTGGACTACACTAAAAGTCAAATTTGTCTCGATAATATAGACTATCACACTGTAATGTCTATGAGTTTTCACCATTAAAATAATATTACGCTAAATATCCCTGTCTTGGACCATGTCTCTCCATTTGACCATTTCCAGATTGCTTATTCCTCTTCGAGAACGTTAAACTATCTTTTCATGTATCTATCGCGTAATTCATTTCCCAAAACATCCATTCTAGTGCTAAACTTTTTGGTTGCACACTTAAGTGTATAACTAGTTTAATAATAATATGTATTATGTATTTTTTTGTTTTTTTATAATATAACCCACATATGTATATGCAATAATAATATTACATCTTGTAGATATTTTGTGAAAATTAACAGTGCGTACTAAATGCTAATCATAACACAATAACAGTATTACTTAAATATTTTGAAAAACACGATTTAAAGTTAAAATGATTTCTTTGTGTTGTAGTACCATCGGCTTCTATATCCGGAGGACCGGATATACACGTGAACGAAGGAAGCACCATAAATTTAACGTGCATCGTGAAATTCAGCCCCGAGCCGCCGGCCTTCATCTTCTGGTACCATCACGATGAGGTATATATTTTTAAACATTTGAGTAAATTAGTATTGAAATTATTTACAACCAATTGGAAAACGAGGGTTTTTGGACATGAAATACTAGTGGTCAAAAATCATTTCATCTCCAAATTAGTATTTTTATATATTATATAGACTTACTAAATAATATACAGTGCCTACGATACAATTTAAAGAATATTAATTCGTATAAAGATTGACATAAACTTTAATATTTAATCAAATATTAATTTATAAAAAAAAAAAAATAAGCTATATTGCTACTTTTTATTTATCTTGAATTTTTTATATGGAAAGTTCGTTTCGTTCGAGCAAATTGAAAATCAATACGCATCATAAACCATGAATAAAGTTGTTAGTTTTAATTTTTATTACAACGATTAAAAAACTCTATAAAATCGCTTAGGACAATATCGACTTTTTTTCCCGTTTAACGCAAAAATGTTTCGATCAAATTTCATCCGGTTACATACGATAAAATGTACAATCTATTTTATTAATCGGTAGCGTTTATATACAGTGAAAGATTAGAAGTATATATTTCTTAAATTCGGTTTTTTGTATTTTTTTTCTTTTTGTTTTTATAATTTTGATTAGTATTGATTGTTTTTGATTTAAAATTTATTTACTTTTTAGTTAGAAAAATCAAAAATGTATTGGTACATAGTTAATATTATAAAGATAAGCTAGGGTCCACATTTTATTAATTAAAATGAAATCTATCCAATAACAATATTACACGTTTATTTAATAATGTATTCCTGCTGATAAAGTATCATTTTTTAAATTTTTTTTAGGCAATTATTGTTCTAAATATGACGTTTATTTATATATTTTTCTTTGCCCGTAAACAAGTCTTATACCTACCAGAAATCTCTCACCAATTAAAAAAAAAAAAACAAGAGATCTTTGATATTGTACTTTGAATCTAATTGATGCGTTTTTGTTATTATTTAATTTTTCTTGTAGTCTTCAATATGACTGGAAAAATGTGGAAAAATTGTAGGAAAAACTGGGAAATTTTACGGAAATAATGGTTATTCGTTACTATCGATTTTTTTGTAAACTGATAAAAAAAAATCTCTGAAACCTGGAATTGCTACAGAAAACTTTTAACAAATTATCATTTTCTACACGTGGATAAATATTTAATCATTCCTGATAATTGTTGAGCTATTAATAATAATTTTAATTTTTCAGTTTTAGTTTCATTTTTATTTTATATTATAAAGATAAAATTATAATTATTTGAAGCAAACAAAAACATTTTAAAATTTAACACGATAAATTTATAATTAGTTGTAGTTAATATTAAACAAAATATTTGGGTTTTTTTTTTTTTTATAAGCATTTATATTTTAAATTTTAATGAAAATTATAAAAATTACGCCATTTAAAAATGTATACTATAAAACTTCTCTTGGGATCGTTAGCTATGAATAAACTTTGAATTTATATATTAACTAAATAAATCCACGCGTATCCTATCCTCTCAACTTCTAACCTACAAGAATGACACACCCATAAGCTGTATCAGATTTGCTTTTTTTGTTTTTTAAATTGACGTGGCTATTAGTTTTTTTCTTATTAATAAATTTGTTCATAGTAATTTTATTACATTCGAACACTGTAGCAAAGGCAGCAACGGGGTAATTGGTTAAAAAAAAGTTCCGCTCGATAAATATACGACCCGCAACTTTGAAAAAACACGTCATCCGTCGCTGTATAGTTAATATAAGTTATATAATTTTTTTTAATCTGTAACTACTATATATTTATATATTTATGTAGGTGTATAATTTATCCTTAGGATTTTTTTTTTAAACTACACACCAAAGTGATGCGTATAGATTTATACTTTGACTGGTTTTTTTTTCTCAATATATGCGTGGTAGTTAAATAGGTTCTTTTCAAGTTAAATCCATCGCCTATTTTGCAAGTTGAAAACGCCGTATCCACACTTAGTGTATTAATTATAGTAAAACAAAAATTCCGGAAAACCAAATAATCAATAAACGGCTACATACTATATAATAATGCATATTATAACTGCACATTTTAACGACAGTTTTACCGTGACATTTTCGTATACGATTCATGTATTATTTTCATGAAAATGTCTAAGTGTCGTAAATTTATAGTTTTATGTTATAGCAAGTATTGGTATAATTCAAAGGTGTTTTTTTTTTTTTCATTTTTTTCATTTATTTTTTTTATATTCCATATCATTAAGAAATTTTAATTTTACGTGCCTACCCACGAAGATCGGATTTTATACTGGATTTCTTCGCTCACGAAGAATTGCACGCGCATTGCGTTCTTCTTGCAAAGTGTTCTAAAAAACCAGTGGAGCTCTTGTTCTATACGTCGTTGTCGTCGTTATTATTATTGTTAGTAAAACAAAAGATTGCAACAAAAAAAAAAAAATCTCCTCTAGCAGTTTAATTATCTACCGTCGAGAGGAGGCCCGTATATTATTTTATTATAATACTGTATAGTAGACTATATGTAAAGCGTAGTCTATTTAATTTTAGCAATTGACACGCCTAACTTATGAAGGTAACGAAAAAAAAAACACGAATTTTTTATCTAATAATTTTAAAGGTCTCGCTTTTTTATATTTTACTTCGAAGTCACAATAGTACGTTATGATAAACAATTTTTGGTTTATTGTTTTAGATTTAGCGAAGAATCTATTCGTTTTATTAGGTATGTGTATGAGTGTGTGTGTATGCGTTTTTTCTCAAAAAAACTTTTTCAGTTAGAAAAAATAGTGTGATTTTATTAACACGACCATTAAAGAATAGACATGGATGGATATATTTTTGCTCTGTGTAATTGAAAAGTTTTTCCGAATTCCCAACTTTTTTTTGGAAATTTCAAAAAAATAAACTGTTAAGAATTATCGATATATTTTCGACCTAATTATCGTGGATATCTATGTTACTATAGATGGTTACATGACAAAAATCACGACCTTTATTGTAGCATTACTAATTTGCCAGACATCACTCTGAATTATTTTTTGACTCCAGTGGTTTATCGTTACTTCCAGTATACAAACTAAATAGCCGTATATCCTTTAATATAGGATATATGAAACTTTGAAAGGTATAGAGCCTATAAATTTCAAACTTTCTATCTCTAACCATAGCTTTAGTGCAAATTATGTCCGGTTTTTTTATATTTATTGTTGAAATTTCGAACGAATTGAAATTGGTGATTTTTTTACTTTGATTAAAATCAATAATATAATAATATAATATTATTTTTATTAAGATTATAAAATATAAAATACTTGCCGGCGTTCAGTGTAGGCAATATAGGTACATATGCGTCAGACTGAAATTATCTAACACAACGTGTTTGGCGGACTCGGAGTTGGTTGAAAGAATATTTTTTTATTGTTAATTTCTAGTATTAAATACTACAAACTCACATAATGATAGTTACTATTATGTGTCAATAACGACAGTTATACTATTTGATAATATCATAAAATCATAAATTAATTAACATTTATTATAAAGGCACATAATAATATGTAGCATTCGAACGGTAATAGTTAATATTACTCTCATAGTATAACGATGATAACTATCGACTATTACTACGTATACATGAAAATGTGATAGTTTCTTATTCACTATAGTTCGATAGTTATTGAACTATTACACGAAGATTGTTAAACGTAATATTTGTTATCACAGAAAAAAGACCACTAATGCAATACATTTCAATCACTATCATTTTGTGAGCACACCGTAATTCTAGACGTGATAGCATATGTTTATTATGCTAATGTTATTAAATTCTAATTAACAATTTTCTTTTTGTACATTGAGTAAATATAGTGCGAACAAGATTTAAATTGACAAAAAATGTGAACGTCAAACTTCTTGACGTTTATTTTATGTTAATACGAAAAATGTTAATGATGTTGTCCACAAAATAATAGTAACATCCTATAGTATCTAACATGCGGGTATTTATCGTAACAGTGTGAAAATAAATAACATATGTTTTACATGACGACAAAATAGATAGGTTTGGTCACGGTATATCATGTTTACATTCATGCGCATCTCTTTCACACCCAAGTCTAATTCTTATTTTTTTTCCAACACTTCCAGAAATGCTTATGTTGATCAATAATAAATGAAAAATTATGACAATAGGTAGAGGTGATGTGAAAAAATATTTGAAAAGTTTAATTTCATTATTCGATCGATTTTATGGCCTTATTTTTGTAATCTGAACCCCTGGTCATCCTCCGAAATTATCATAATTGGATTAGAAACGGTATACGCTTCCTCGATTGCGAATCGGTGACATTCTAGAATTAATAATAACAATTATCATTTTCAATAAACAACACATCTTCGCGTGCGTATAAGTAGTATAAAAATAACAATAATAATAATAGTGACCCGAATTTAAATTAAAAAATTATAATGCATGGTGACACTGAAAACGACCGGAAAAAAATAAAACATTAAATATTATATGCGTATTGTATATACCTGTGAGATTATTATTACGGTTCGGTTTGTTTTCCATGGAAATTTATCATCATCGGTAAAAGATAAACATGGTATTTTTTTTTTCGTTTTTCCCCCTCGTCCTTCTTCTTCTTCTTTTTTCTTTTTTTCCTTGTAAAAAAACTTTCAGTCGTTTTTATTTACGACCGAGCCCGGTAAATACCTCGAAGGCGATAGCAATGTTAGAGGCACGCAATCTCACAGCATACTATAAATCTCGGAATAATTTGAATTTGATATATAAAATTCTTATCTGCCAACGTTTTTCGAACGACGACAAGATCGACAAGATACATCGTTATGCTCCTTATAATACAATACACAATATTATATTAATATTTTCCAACATTATTTTATATAGCTGACGGCAGCGAAACCCAACCTTCAATCGTGCTAGAGGGTGTCTCAGACCCTAGGAAAACGCAAAAACTTCGGGATAAATTATATTTAATACGGAATCAGATTTCCCGTATTATGTCCCAGAAGTCCAGGTTTATTACGTTGCATTTGTTATCGTTATTATGCTATAACAAGAATGCGAGTGGGACAGTCAATGTACTTACTTCTGTATAGATTTCAAATTGTTCATAGTATGTACCCTGTGATCCGTTAGGTAGGTAAACTCATTATCTGGAAAAGAATTAACTTTTTTCGACAAGTTTTCTAAAACAGTTAAGAACCAAATAGCTATATAATTTTATATTTATGTTATTTTTTTTTCACCTTAACTATTAAGGAAAAAACCACTACCTACTTTTGATTTTTAAATGGCAACCTATAATAAAAATTGCATCAATATATGAATAAATTATATGAGTTAAAATAAATTTGAGTGTTGAAATTTTGTATTTTTGTCAAGCATTTGACGAGATATTCCATTTTTAATTTTAAGTTGGAGAAGAGTAGTGGTGCATTGTTAACACGCCACGTGTAATATAGCTGTGACCGTAACCATTTTACATCAATAATATAAAAATTTAACTCTAGCTACCCATGAGTGATTTTTTTTTTCATCCGATTTGTTAAAAGATACCGGAAAAAAATTGTATGTTTTTATAACTATACAATAATCGTCCAAATTGGAGTGTTTATTTTCACAATGGTCATGCTCGATGAATTCCATAACGAATTTAACGTGATAGTTAAAAAAAAAAAAAGGTAATCATTTTTTTATTATTTTTTTTACCCCACGGACAACCCCACAATATAAGCCGCTTACGCAAACGTATTCGAGATTCTCCGTGGAGCTATTGTCGATATTATATTATTGTACGCCGCCGCTGAGCCGTAAACTTTTCTCCGCGAAAACTTTCAAAGAGTATTCATCGTTGTGCACTACTCGTATATCGTATACTTATGTATGTATATAGATACAAAGCTAATACAAAAGTTATCTCATACATATAACAACTTGTATCGATTCTCACATTTTATGCAAATTCGATATAAATTATAATGTTGTTTTCTGACTTGGCATTTTGAAAAAAAAAAAACAGACAAAGTATTCGTATAAAATATGTAAATATAATGGATTTCGATTTCCATTAAACTGGCATTTTTTTTTTTTTTTTTACATAAAAGTTTTTTCACTTAAAATAAAATATCTATGTTAGGTATGCATTATGATCCTTAAAAAATTTGCCCGTGTAATGCACCAGTGCCAATGCATGCCATCTACGACGTTCCAATGAATTATTATATTTCATCGTAATGTCTAAAATAATAAAATAGAATCTTTTAGACGAGTACTCGGAAAAAAAATTCATATCACGCTAAAATATTTACGAAATTTTATTTGGTTTCCGATCCGAATAATAATGTAACCCGTTACTCGTATAGACTATAATAATATGATTGTACCAAAACCAACGTATATAGAAGAATTATTATTATAATTATTTTTTTTTTTTAACTGAAACTTATATCCAACTTTCCCCCGTCGAATAATTGTTACACGAAAGAACAGCTGAGCGAAAGCAGTCTCGAGTTTTTCAGCACTAAAAATTGTACAGAGTAGGAACCTATAAAATTAATATTGATTCGATCCTTTTTGATTTCATTCAATAATTAAAAATAAAATAGTTTGACATACTTCGCACTACGGATATGCCACTGTCGTAGGTGAAAAAACTTAAAAAGGATACTATACATAATATAGAACAAATAGTAGAGAGAATGTCAAAATAAATAATTGCAATAACACAATTATTCTAAAAAAAGCTTGGTACCTTGTGGTATATAAGGCGGTGATATAAAATACATTTTTCCTTTTATAGCTGTTTAAAAAATAATCAAAAAATTAAAAAAAAAATATAAAATCGTCACTAATTTTCGGTTTTATTTTTAAGTTTTTTTAAAACTCTTAGGAATCTATCAAATGTTTAAATAAAGTACGAAAAATCATGCAATAAAAATAAAGGGCATTTATAAAAAAAAGCAAATACTGTGAACCCCAGTGGATTGAGAGCGGCCGCTGTTGTAGGTGAAAATTTGGGAAGGTAGGATACATAAGGTTATTTCATTTATATCTGTAACGAAAGATAAACCATTGCTTGACGGATGATGGTTCCGAGCGCAGTTCGATAATACATAATTTGAATTGTCGTAATTTTTTTTTTGATATTCATTTAAATTTGATTTCAAAACGCTTATTAAAAAAAAATCCGACGAAAAAATGATTCTGAGTGGAGTTCATATGATTGTGACGCTTAGTCAACAATATATTTTCAAGCCAATTTATGCCACTGCAGGGTACTTTATTCGTAATATTTGTACTTTATTTGTGTGTCGATGACAATTTTTCGGGAAACAATTAAAAAAAAAAATATTGGATTGAAATGTCCTATGATCAACATCCGAGAAATTTCGTAATAATTCTTCCCCATTTTATATTTACCGTTTTATTTGTTACACACCATTCTAATAATTTAATAATGTAAAATTTGAAAATATCACGTTTTATTTTTAAAGATAAATATATATATATATATATATGTAAATATCTTTTTTTTTTATGTAAAATATATGAACACTATTAATTTTCGAAGTTTAAATTTCGTCTTAAAAATGAAAAGGTATACCTATTTAATTACGTGAAACTTAAATCGTTTTTTTTTTTTTTTTGTTTTTTTACGCAACGCGATGAAAATATATTTTATCTAAAATCATTAAATTTAAAAACCAAGAGTAATGAGTGCGAAATATAATATTAAAGTCACACCTTTTTTAATGCAACTTTTAAATATGTATATATTTTTTTTTTAATTTTATGAAAATTAATAAACCGCCGCTATAGCGAACACATTAAAACTAACCTAATCTGTATTCCTTCGCATAAGTCTGATAAATTATTATTTTAAGTTTAGATTTTATGTATTATTTCACACGGCTGATTTGCTACATACCAGGTTATTGATTCGTGACCAAAATTCAATTTCGAAATTATTTACATTACAAGTAGGTATTCGGTATTCATTTTGCTTATAAATTAGAAAATCACTTTATCAAAAACAAAATTTTTACTCCGTAGATTAATGAATTAACTAGATAAGAACCAACTACGGAAAGAAAATCCTAGCCCCCAGCCTGTACCAACAAATTCGATGTTATTGATTAACCGATTAATTATCTGTTAATGCCAGAAATGATAAAGAAGTGTGTCGTAAAATATTAAAAAAAAATTGAATTTTGTTCTATCAAGACTACCCTGGTTTTTATTTTTCTACATAATTTATGGTAAACAAATATTTCATATATTATAATTTGTGAAATTTCCCCAGGTCATATAATATAATTATAACTTTTTATTTTATTTGACTACTTAAATATTCTTCTAAGGTTTTTTCTTGTACATTCAGGTGTTTGTAAAATAAAAGCCTGAAAAACTTCAGATCTAAAACTCCTCATTATTATTAGTTTTATTTTCTAAATGTTGTAATGATTATCTATTGATATTATAATCTTGTTTTGCCGTACCTGCCTAAACCAAATACTATTTTCGGATTTCATAATTCATTTGGCATCATCATCAATCTATCTTTTTTTTTTTTTTGGTTTCAGTGAGACTAATAATATAATATACGTTTAAATTTGATTGTTATTTGCATATAAATTAGCCGACGATATGTTTGAACGAATTTTGATTATGCTTTTATAATGATATTTTACACTGAAAAAACAACTGCTCCTCGAACTGTATATAATATTGGGACGTCATATTTCATGGACATACAATATTCATCAGAGATTCGTGTGTATACGGATTCCCCGAATACCTATTAGATTTAATATCAAAAAATCGTCCTACGACATGTACACTTTTTTACGAGCGTTCGATGTTCAATTTTTAGTCGAATTTTCACGAGAAAAATGTAGAGACTATTACAGCCTACTTCGTTGTATACCAATCGTTTTTCCGCTACTTTTGTGCACTTTTGAAAGCTACGACACCAAATGTGCTTAAACTCGAAAAATCTAGTTGTACTACTGTTGGAATAAAGTGAAAAAATTGGATTGAATTCCAATATGAATTTAACCATGTTGTTATGGTAAGATGATATTTTTTCAGCTTTAAACACCCATACACACTCCCTAAAGAAGTCTGGAGAATAAAAATGTTGTATATGCTTTGCGTTTGTATTAAGAAAATACTTTTCAATCCCGACTATAATCATTTTCATGCTTCAATATTTTAACTATTTTTTTTTTCTGGAAATTATTATTTATTTATTTATTGTTTTAAAACAAAAATAGAACTTAATATAACTTTTATATATTGCGAATATAATATATGGGAAATAATAGATACAAATGAATTATTATACAAGAAAACATTTGATTTTCACGTTATAGGGCAGATGTTTCCAAATTTTTTTATATAAAGACTATGTAAAAAAAATTAAATTCTCTTAGCAAGCCAAAATTATAAAAACATGTATGATTTTTAATTATACACAAACAATGAATGAACACAAGAACAATAATATAACAGTATATGGTATTTTTTATAATGATTTATAAATTATTGATTTTTTTTTTTTATTTATGTAAACTATTAAATCCATTTCAATCCATTCTCTTTTATTTTTCCTGCTGTGGTTTACCTACCGGAAATACTGACCAGACGTCTCGTTATTGTTGTAGATGATTAGTTACGATTCGGCCCGCGGAGGCGTGAGCATCGTCACGGAAAAAGGAGATGTGACGGTCAGCTATCTGCTCATACAGGACGCAGTGCAAACGGACTCGGGCAAATACTCGTGCAATCCGTCCAACGCAGACGTGTCCAGCGTGGTCGTCCACGTGCTCAACGGTAAGTTGATTAACGACGTAATATAATCGTGAAAATTAGAAAATTACGTTTTCATTATGGTACATAATTTTATGGCAAAAATTACGGTTACCTCTTGGGAAATGCTAAAATCGTAGCGGTTATACCAAAAGTAACCCAGTGCAAATATAGCCAAATACAACCCATTCTATAGTCTGCACTCGAGTATATAAAAAAAAATAAACTTAAAATTAGAAATATAATAAAATATATTTTATATTGAATCGTAGGTTATATTTCGACCCAGAGTCATTTTTCGTACCACCGAACAACATTAAATTCTGTATAGTTAACGATTAAAGTTCAAATTTCACATCGAAACTTTTTGCATGGTAACGACAATATTTAAATACAAAATATTTTTAGCCATAAAAGTATCCTTTGTAAAACAACCGCGTACGTTTCCACCATATTTTAGAAGGTAATTGGAACTCGATTTCTAAAACAGGACACAATGACCATTTTTTTTCTTAATGATATAATTATTTATTTTCATCATAAGAAGACACGAATCGAGTGTCAACTGTCAAGTGTATATGTCACGATTAATGTCGTTGTGTTTATACTTTTTAGAAATAAAAATTGATTTTGTGTTTTTGATTTTAATACTAGAATGTACAAGCCTGTTATTAAACTTAAAGTTAAGAACATTATCTGATTTTGTAAGTCGGTTTTTCTCGGTGTTTTAATTTTCATGTGAGTTACAAACATGTGAAATATTATAATTTAAAAATCGTCAAATCTAGATTAAAAATTAAAATATCAAGAAAAAACCTACGTACAAACACAAACAACATGCTTACACTTAAGTTAGTTAACAGGCCAATACACTCCGATTTTAAAACGAACAGCACAAAATAGGTTCAAGTGTAAATATAAAGACATTAATCGATTTTACGGCATTCACTAAAACATGTACACTTGAATATATTACACACAGAAATTCACATAAGTTCGAATATAGAGTGACGGTAAACCTAGTAATGATAACTTTGTAGAGGTTACCTATATCTAGTTCGATCAAACGGAACCAAAATAACCATATTATGTCTAAGTAAATCGGACCGTTTGAAGAAGTAATTGACGTTCAGTTGAAAGTTATAACTAGACATTGGACAAGCACTTAACAATTGAAAGTGTTCAGTTGAAATCTAGACAGTTAGCATCCTTACTTTTACTGTATGTTTAAACGATAAGATTTTTAGTTTTTAAACATACAATATTAGTATTTTCTAATTTATTGATCACTTGTCTAACTATAAATGATTGTAATCGATAATATTAATTTGAATCTGTTATTCGACCGAAATTGATATTTTTCGAACGTTCGAACATCACAAAAGATAATAGTATTACATTGTCTTCTTTAAGATTCGGAGCGTAGCGTGGAACTATTGGTTTTACTATGATGTGTATTTTTTTTTTCTGTTTTAAACAACTTTTCGAACATAAATCTTTTCCGATGGATAGAGTGTACCTCTTCTAAAATTTAATTTTCTCTAGCTAGTGCAGGAGATCATTTTTTTTTGATTTTCTTAGTTGTTTTCAAAATAATTGTAAAAACCCTGAAATAAAATTATAGGTAAAACCGAACATATTAATGGCGCTCCGTGGAGCTCCGTTTGTTATTGTTTTTAATTTTTATTCACGGTGTTTTCTATCAGAAATATTGTTCTAATCAAAAATATGATACAAGATCAATTCTGTTTCATTTAATATAAAGTTATTGATAGGGAAAAAAATTTAAAAAAGACGGAAAAAATAATTAAATAATTTTATGTATCCTACGTTCCCAACTATTCACCTACATCAGTGGCCCCACGCATCATCAGTAACAGCTCTTTTTTTTTTATGTTTACCTTCTAACATCAAAATTGCTAAACATAAAACCTGACATCTATCCTTGTTCTTTGCAGCTTCTCTATAATAAGATTTTTCACTCCGTCACCCATATATTTTCCTAAACACAATCTTTTCACCTTTACTCCTGCAGGTGTCCTTAAAACCTTTTCATTATAATTGTATGGTTTTTCTTAATCATCTTATTAGAATCTTATAGAATGATTACTGTTTACATCAGGCATAGTCCGCCCACCGCAGTTTTCTTTTAGCTATCCCTCTAACTATATCAGGTCTTTACTGCATTTGAATTTCATTGTGACGTAATCTCTTTCATTCATTGATTTGGACATCAAAGACTTGGTTATATTTTTTTTCCGAGAACTTTTCTCTCGAAAACCACTTATCTCAGTTTTTCGACTTTGATCAGCAGCTATACGTCTCAGAACAATTGACCGTAACAATTTCATGTACATCCTAATTTTAAGTTCTTCGGAAAAAGTCCTTGGTTCAAGAACTTTGTCTAGCCCATATTATAGTACCCTTTCCTCACTAGTATTATATATATTGTTGATAATACCATCTCCGTGTTTTAATAGTTTGTTGATTTTAATGAATTAAATTGCCATACGGGCAATTTCGTACATGTTTAATGTTGATTTTAATGTTAACTAGAACTAAGTGAGAGGGGTGACAGTAAAGGGGTAACTTTAATCAAAAGTGAGGAGAAGGTATTTTCCTACATTCTTCTGCATTGTAATAAAATATTTTAAAAAACGATTGTACATAATATATGCCATTAGTATTCTCATTATGTCTCGACGGAAAATGTTAGGGACGTTTTTATGTGATATTATTTACAGTAAGTATACCGGGAAACGACCTGTGAGAATTTATTAAAGATTCATTGCAACGGATTCATTTCAATCAAACCTAGAGTATTATCCGAGCTTCGCCATTTAACATAAGCACGTTCAACTTTTCCGTAAAAATAATAAGTATTTAATAATTATTTCTATTTTCCATATCGAATTTTTTTCAAAAATTATCGTAAATAATCAAAATTTAATTACAGTAAATAGAAACCTATTTTGAAATCTCCCAATTAGTTGTAGGTTTATTACAAATAAATAAGTGTCGTTTTGATAATGCGATGTCAAATCATAAAGGTTATGTAAAATTACGTTGCATATTGTTATAGTGCAACAGTATATATCTCAATTTTTGTAGTTTTACAGTATAAACAAAAACATTATCTAACAACATTCATCTCAACATTTAAATAAAACAATTATTATCTAAAATTCTCAGCAGTTGAGACCTATTGTAATAGGTTTTGATGTACACAGTATAATCATATAAGACTGTATTCTAGAACTATCGTATATTGTATTAATTTATTAATATCGTAAATAACAGAAAATAAGATGACTGAGTCGGCTGAAAAGTGGTTCCCGCTCTCTGATTGTTACCTTTTCTGTTATAAATGGACATGTATAATACTATACTGTGCATTATTATTGATAATAATCAAAAAAATTGAACGTGGATCATGATATTTCATAATATTCGATTTCAATTTGAGAGAGAACTTTTGTGACCGATTAGAGCGTCATTTTGTAAATAGATAGTGTTTTTTGTTTTTGTACTAATCTAAAGTAAACGATTTGTTTTGTGTATAGAGTCAAGCTGTTCTAATCAAGATTTGCGCCCCGTCTATAATGATAATAATAAAATGTGTTTTTTTTCCGCAGGCGAAAGTCCGGCGGCTATGCAGACTGGTTCGGCCGGCCTGTCCAACAGTTCAATCACGATACTATGCGTGATGATCCTGAGTTGGACTTTCACCCGGACCGACGATCAGCTGAGATAATAGATGCGCGAGATAAGAGTCATCTTCTCCACGTCGCATCACCACCACCTGTTTTCTTTGACGATTGTCGTAACAATTTTATCACGGAGAAAAATGCAAAAAGAAGACAAAAAAAAAACCCGCTCACTGCGAATAACAAGTAGTGCTGATTTGGAACGAACTCCATGTCGCCGATAAAAAAAATTCCACTTCACGCATGTCATTCGCGTATATATTGTTTTTGTTTCTCCAACAGAGGATGTCGCTCGGTTTTATCCCTCCTCGCTAAAAAAAAAAAATATGTAAATAATATTGTGTTATTATGTCACTGTACAGGATTTCTCTAAAATTTACGCCCGTCATATTGTGCACCCGATGACAATTATTATTATTACCAAGTATAAATGGTACACGATTCAGCGTTCGCACGCGGACGGGTGATTTTTTTTTTTTTTTTTTGTTGAACGTATTGGTTATAATTATTATGTAATCGGGAAAACTAAATTTTTTACGAATCTATGATAATGACTAAAAATAACTCTCCAGGTATTGACAGCATATGTTCGATTTTCCTATCGCGGAACACGGTCAAAACTATACACTTTTTTTTATTCCTGGCGGTATTATTTATTTGTTTAGATTTGGTGCGTATTTTTTTATTTACCCTTGCCTGTGTGTACAAATTTAAAATGGATTTTTGAAACCAGACTTATATTCGCACGCACAATGGCATATTGTTTATTTGCTAAAAATTTAGAAGAAAAAAAAAATCAAATAACATTATAAACAACAAAAAAAGCCGAAAACATCCGTTTCGAAAGAATAATAATCGTCAAAATTCGCGGGTAGGGACTGTTTGAAATGTTTCGGCGTCGACGGCGGAAAGTGGGCGGGATAAAATCGCGTCATTAAAAAGGAATGTTAAACCTGAAAAGCGGAAAAACAATCGTACCGGAAATGGGGCAAAATTCTTGTACATACCGCGTTTACGGTTACATGAAATTACGGTATGCGAGTACCTTCAGGTTTTCGTCGGTGGATTTCCAAATTTCAAATACGGTTTTACGGGCGTCGTTAGCGGTCAGTGGTGGTGGGCGGAGGTGAAGAGTTATACTCTTTCTTATTGGTTTAAAATTACAATAACCAGTTAATTTTGTAGTTTTATCGTTAAGTCATGTATTTTAGCCAAATCCCAAACAACTCGGAGAAATGATTGAATTTATTGAAAATCCACTTTTTTAGACCCGAATTTTAAATTCATACTATCGGTTTAGGCGTAACAAAAGAAGATTCTACAATTTATTCGCGAATCACGATTATAAATTACTGTATACATCCCTTCTCATTGAATATTCTTGGGCACACCACGGTCACAGCGACACACGTCGACTGGACACAAAAATGCACTAAAAAACTTTTTTAAAAAATCATTTGATTCTCAAAAAAGGAACCATAACAAAAAAATAAAACACTTACGAGCTGCATATTGTATATTGCATTAGTGCAAAGAATGAGTTTATTTTGGGTTTCCCGTCGTTACGCTCAAATTTCATCGTTTTTTTCTGATTATCGGCGGACCGACCTCCGGCATCTATCGTCACTACTCGAAAGTACCTTGGTCCACGGTGCCTTGAAATTTCACGGACACTCCGTCGTGTGATTGTACTTTTCTTTTTCTTTTGATCGCGTTTCGTCTGGTTTTCGATCGTTTCGGACGTTTGTCCGAATAATTCCGCGTTACGCTCGGGACGCCACATAAAAACGATCCGGGTAAAACTAACCGATCATGACCGAAAAAATACACTTAAATTAACGGCAACGGATGTGTCGTACGGAACACGCATTATCATAAACACAAAACGTTTTTTCCATTCGTATAGGCGCATCACGTTAAAATTACTGCCGTCGTGTGTGCGCATCGCGTGATTTTCGTCTCGTTGACGGCCGAAAATAACGATCGTCACCGTTCCTTCTCCCGCCCCGGTGTTTGTATCGGCAAAAAAAAAAATAAAAATACCAGGCAACATGGGATATTTCAATACAGTTTTATAATAACGTAATGGTTAACATTTTTTTTTTTTCTGTTTTGACCGTTCTCTTTTACAGTTCGGCTTGTTTATTTTAGGGAAATTTACTGGGAAAGCGATTTGGTTTTTTTTTATACATAATAAATTGATTTCAAGTTAAAAAAATAAAAAGATAAAAAAAACACGTAGTCGTCGCTCGAAATAGGATGTTTTGCGAGAACTACGTTTCTCTTTGCAGTTGTTTTCGATAACAACTGCTGATAGAACGCGAAAATTAGATCCCAGTGTACAATATTATAATAATATATTATTATTATGAACTCGGTTTGCCGAAAAGCAAAAACGGGTTTGTGACGTAGTAAGATAAGACCACGACGAAATGATAACTTCACCTCGCGTTCCTCCTTATTTACGTATTATACATTATTATTATTATTATTATTATTATTATTCCCGTACCGACCGCTTTTTTCTTATCTCGTTACAACTCGACGACAAAAGCCCCTTTCCGTCGGAATATGCGAATTCAAATTAATAATCGTTCCGAGCATCAACCGAAAACCGAATTAAATACCGTTTTTAGGGTTTATATTTTTTTTTTTTTTTTTGGTACCTCCCGCACCATACCGATACAACGACAACGCCATATCGAAATGCAGTGGCTATACATAATGTCTATGTACACTACGCAATTTCAAACGCTGCGACAAATACAGGTAGCGGTCAAATTCAAACGCACGCGTGTGCTCCGGAAAGTCAGAAAATACAGCCATAACCAATAATTGTCTGCTAGACAATTCTGTTAATTTTTTTTTTAATTTTTTCTTTTTATAAATATATATATATATATATATATATATATATTTTATGGAATTTCTTTTTTCACTTTGTTCGTTAGAATCGTTTTACATTTAATTGTATCTATTATAATTATAATAATATGCCGTTTTGCGTCATTCGTCACTTCGATCCTCACCGATTTGTCACCTCGACCGCGTGCGACCCATCGAAATATTAATGGAATAATAATAAATGCTAAGTGCCATACAATTATATGGGTTTTTCTCTCTCTCTCTCTCTCTCTGTCTAAATTCGTTACCTATTCGTTTATAAGTCCGAATGATGTTTGGTGTAAGTAGTCAAAAGTAGGTATTTTATTGTATGGTTTGAACCGCATACCGCGCATTATAGGAGTATAATAATACAATATCGAATAGGTATAACATAATAATGCAATATTTTGTAAAATAATATATTTATGTGTGAAAGAGACGCTTGTCGTGAACTCCACGATCCTAGAAGATAAAATCGACACGCGGCTATCACCTACGTGTTAATTATTTGAACACAAAGCGAGACAGTTTCGGTTCGATATTTTATCGCTTAATTCGAGGGACAACGGCTTCACATTTAACTTCCAACCGAACCGCCTAAAATTATTTTAAAAATGTCAAATATTTATAGTTTTTTTTTTTTTTTTGCATTTTATGTTCGTAAACAAATTATATTATATTATACCATTATTATTTCTTCGAATTGATTATAATTATTATTATTTTTGACCTAACCGACAAACGCACAGTGTCGCGTCATTAGAAAAAAAATTGTAACATTGGTAGGTACTATAAAACCGTCTCTCTAAGCGACAGCATTTGATAGCCTTAATGCAGTGTCCGATTTTATTTTCTAAGACTGCGCTCACGAGTCATAGTTGATTTTTTTCTCCCGGGTCATAAACAATGTAATAATAACAAAAACAACCCTCTGATAGAAGTTAATAACCGATAAGAATAACGTTAATAAAATAATTTTAAAGAACGTTGTCAATAATCAATTATTATAAAGGAGTAGGTACTTACCTACCTATTATAAAAGTATGCGTGTAAAAGCATTCGTTAAAACTTCATTCGTACGGCCGTCTGAAAATCGATGGTCTTTTTTTTGTTTTAACGAAATTTGTTTATTATTATTTTTTTTTTTTTTATAGAAAATCGATATATATATTATTATTATTATTATTATTATTATTACACATTGTTTTCAGAGTCAACGACGACGGTTTATTATTATTAAAATATATTGTTCTGTAATATAATTATTAATTTTATATTATATTTTATAATATACATAATTATATATATTATATATATATATATATATATATTGAGGATTTTTACGTACTATTTAGCAACGATTTATTTATACTGTAAGTTTAATCATACACGATTATATTATTGAAAACGAAAAAAATACATAAAAAAAAAAATAAACTTGTAAAACGCTTAGCGACAATATTATCGACACAATCGCGTTACACCTTATTTATATACTATAATACTTTACATATTATTATTTGTTTTAAATTTAATAACCACTATAATTCATTCGCGCATAAATACCGCGGTCATTATATACCTATATATAATATGTATACATATAATATTGTATTATGTACATAATATTGTGAATAAAACGTGTACATAATATACAAATAACATTATACTATCGTAAAACCGGTTTTTCGCCGTAGTTTGTATTTATTTAATTTTCTCGCAACATTAAATCGGTGTTTGAAAAAAAAAAGTAGGCATTCACGTCCGGATTCCTGTGAGCTGATAAAAAGTAATGCATCCCTATAATACGTCATTCATTATTTCCACACTGAACGCATTCCACACTCACGTCCATTGACATTTAGAGTGCAATCCATGTGTTTTCCAAAAAAAAAAAAGTACGAATTCTTTGGAAAAATTGTGTAAATACAAAACAAGTAAGTCCACTTTGCAAGCGCGCAAAGTTTTAAGTTTCTAAACGTATTTTAAAAAATAAACCGTAATTCCGTTTGAAGTTTTGAACCAAATTGGTAACATAATAACTAATAATAATAATAAACTAACAATGATTTTTTTTTTTATGTGTAGAAATATTAATCAATTAGTTATTTCAATTTTTAAACATTTGACAGAACATTTTCTTATAATTCTTAAAGTACTTATCACCTATTTTTTAATATTAGCTAATATTGATATGCACTAATATTTATATTAATAATACCATGCAAGACAATAAAAATGTAATAAATTTATATTTAAAACTATCCGTCCCATATGACATTGAATAAAAAATTTAAAAATATAACGCGCGTTTGTGTGTCTCCAAAATAATAACTGTATTATAATAATAATTACTATGACGTGTTTTTTTTCAACCGAAAATTCTCACATTTTGAAAAATGAAGTGCCATCGAAATAGCCGTGAAATGATTTATAAAATCGATGCATCTTTTAAGATTCTATAAAAGTTAATGACTCGTGCATTAGAACACCATAATATTAATCGCTTAATCATCAACGAAGTGATTTGTCTTAATTTTAAGAGTGAAATATTAATGGCAAAATAAGCCGATTCAATTTTATACGAGTATGTAAACGCAGTGATTTTTACGCAGTAGTGAAGAGGAAAAACGTGTTCATTAAAATATAGATCACCGTAAGTTATCCTACGCAACGTATGAACAGAATGAAAAGTAGGTATCCTATGTGCCAATCCAGAATATATTTTATTCGTGTACCAAATTTTGTCCTAATCCGTTCGATCATTTTGGTGTGATCGAGTCATAACAATTGTCATAAACGTTAGCATTTGTAATATTATGTTGGATTAATAATCATAATCATGTCATAAATAATACTTTTCTATGTCAACAAAATCAACAATCGTTAATTTGTACTAGCCAGTGTTGACCATTATCTAAATAAGTAATTAATTATCTTTTGTCTTATTCAGATAATCAAAACGTCAGTGACTTTATCGTGGACGATACCTATCGTTTTTTTACAATATTAATTAATTAATCTTGGCATTTAGGTGAAACGCCACCGGGTAAAAGCAAACCGGATCAAAACGTTCCCGGGAAAAATTAAAATTTTTAACTCAACAGTTCAAAATGTTCTTAATCGTAATTATGGAGACAGTTATAAATAAGTTCAATTTCGATATAAAATATTAGATATGATACATAGATATTATTATTATTAATACACTCGTGGAATACTTTGTTAGGTCTTATTATGGTTGACTGAGGTTTCATAACAGTATAGTAAAATTGCACAGACAATTATTTTCCGTAATAGATAAGTACAGGTTGTCAATAGTCTTCAACAGACCAATAATAATATAAAATATATAATATTCTATATGAATTACTTTACTTGTAATTATAAACCTATTCATATGTATTCGCCAAAAAGATACCTTTCGGGCGAAAATGTATGTGCAGTGAAATAAACACTCACTCGGTATATAACTAAATAACCTTAGGTTTTGCTAGATAGTCGACGATATGCTATTGTACTCGTACTAAACTATTGAGAGGACAAATTGTATCGTTGATTAATCCCTGAAATATTAACTGTTTACTCCGGGTATTGTACGCGATAATTTAGAAAGTGAGTATTTATGTATTATAAACTGTTTCTATTTAATCATCATCCCGTTAAAATTATACCTACGCGATGAAATTCAAACCAAGCAGATAAAACGATAGAAATAATTTTAAATATTTTTCATAATTTAATCCCATGTACCTATTTGTCATGCAATTCGTGACCTAAACAAAAATCGCATGGGTCAATCAATAACTCCTATTCGTACATGGCTGCCAGGCCGAATCCCGTTTACTGTCTTTAACTATCTAGTTGTTTTATACATTAAAAAATAATATATTAGTATTATTCGATGTAAACCTTTTTTTTCGCTTAGGTAAGATGTGGTTCTCTTTTACGCACGTTAATGTGACCACCATATATGTTTATTGTATATAGGATATATGGGTATTGTTAAACAATCATACGTCGTCTACAATGGTCCGTCGCCAAAATAATTCAACTCAAACAATTCAACAATGAATTAACATACAGATTTCTCGCTAAAATATGATACGTTTATGTTTATTCAAGTGAAATAATTTCAGCACAAAACGGGACAGATAATTAATAAACATACATAATTTCGGTCCTGACGGTATCAAAATCGGAATCGACGACAAGATAGACCAACTTAAAATTCGAAAAAATCACAACGTACATTATTTATTTATTTATTTATTTATTTATTTAATATATATTTTGCAAGACACGACAGTTTATAGATGCTCCACATAAATTAAATTGCAGCACCCCCTATACGCCAAGACTGTGCTGGGGTCAGGTTAGGTAGACATGGTATATAATTTTTACATTTCTTTGAATATTCCTTTATGACGTCGTTTCTGATCAAAAGTCGTGCATACGTGCATATAGGAAAAAGCTCAGCTTTATTATTTTATCAATCTATTTTTACATTTCAGAAATAATCGAGCAAAAACAGTAGATGTGAATAACTGTATGCTTATACATTTACAGATATTCCACTTACTAGAAATAATATGAAATATACGCACAAAAATATCGGAATATTTTATATACCAATATTATTTTTAATATTTTATATATTGTGTAATAATCACGTTAAATTCCACGAAATTATCACAAAGGTTTTCTGAACCTTGAAGAAACTGAATAATAAAATATGTTCGTCATCGTGTCATCCAAAGCATAAAAATATCTGAGTATCTGACAATAACATATTTTTTGAAGCGAAATTGTCACTTTTCAGTTTTAATCAGTAATAATATTTATATTTTTCGTCGAAGTCGACAACAACCAAAGTGATTCCTCAATATAGATAATATGCGTTCACGGTACAATAAATTTCAAAAAGAAAATAATAATATTTAATAATAACGTCCTGATATCACTACTCAAAGTGCAAACAGCATTAATGTCACGGCAAAATAAAAGCTAAATGGGACGGGTGCAATCAATATTGCAGGTGGGAAGTTGAGATGGTAGGATACAGAAAGAAATTCGATGTATATCTATAAACAACGATAAAACATAGCCAATGTTAAACGATTCTGAGCGGAGTTTAGTTGATAGTAATGCTTTGTCAACAATATGTATGTCATATCGTGGTAAAATAATTAAATAGGGTTGAATTTTTTCCTTATTTTTAGGTTTTGTTTTTGTTTTACCAAGGCATCGCTATAACAAAAAATTCCCGGCTTTTTTTCGCAATTTTACTATTTATAATTTGTTAGTTTTTTCTTCGCCCTTTTATTTTCTTTGCTGTGCTAAAGGGTCAATTCTCTAAAAAATAACACACCATCAAGTATTTCATACAATTTAAAATTCAATTATTATCGTTTTTCGCTGTGAAAGAATCATCCTGTATATACTTCGATCTGTGTGGGGATACAGTGTCTATTAGTCATTCGCGTGCAAACTTTTCAGAGCGAGTTTCACAGTCTTCACGCAACGAATGTTTCACGTTGTGAAAAAGTCGCGTTTTTCATTATACGAAAAAGTTTCAGCAATAAGGATTACTGTATATGTGTACATATAGGTGTTTTATCTTTGGAGACATCCCAATGTCAAAAAAAGAATATATGTAGCCAAAAATCATTATTTTAAATATAATAAAAATCAGATTATCTGATAAAAAATAAAAAAACACAACTCTACACTTTTTGCAGTTTATTCAAAAACATAACATAGTTATTGCTATATAATATACAATAATTATTATTATAATTAAACTGATTTATTGCGAATAGTTATATTTAGGACATGACATATCAAATTCATAAAATAGCAATTAAAAACGTTAAAAAATCTCTGAAAAACAAAAAAAAAACAAATTACAAAAAATAACTTTGTGGTACTGTTAAAATTGTTATTTTATAATTTAAAATTGTCCACAAAAAAACTTTTCAGATTATAATTAAAATTTTTAGAAAAGTTCTTCTCCCCCCCCCCGACGTTCTCTCTGTTATTGTTTATATAATATTTTCCCAATTTTTAGGATATGGTTTTCTCTCGTTATTTTCCGATTATTCATTTCACTATAGTTGAATTTTCCAAACCTTTTTGGAGATATAAATACAACCGCAGTGAAGAACTTAATGTTCTTAACATACCCAAAGTAACGTTAGAAGAAATAAGTCGATATATTATCAAAATGTCCCTACTTTTCTCCGAAAATCTTAGACAAACATTCAGAAGACGCCTTCGAAATATTGAAAACATCGAACTATAAGATTAGGTAATAGATCAAAAAAATAATAATAATAGAAATAACTTTATTAAAACTTTTTCCAAATAAACACACTGAGTGAGTTCGTATAAACATTTTTTCGCAAATAAACTTAACGAAAACACGAACCACGGGCACATAAAACGAAGAAAAAAAAACCGATGACAAATTTTTACGATGAAGCGAACCGTTGTAACTTTTTCTCATTTGGCGGTTTTCCAAGCTGGTTATTTTTTTTTTCTTTAAGTTTCATTTTAAACGTAACAAAATCCCACAAATGTGTTTGAC